TAGTGAAGACTAAGAATCCTAGTGCCTGTGTAACGGTGAACTGTAAAGTGTCTAGAATACCGATAGTGCTGTATTGTCTGTATCCCGAACTGTGTGAATATATAAGGTGCAATAAATTCAATCATTCAACCCAAAACCCGTCTTAAAAGTCGCGTACGCACCACCATATAACACGTGACAACTTATTTTCATTTGATCTATAATGAAAAGCAGCATAAGTCTCAACTCACGGCTTCAGGGTGATATGTAAATATATCGGATATTGTCTGCAGCGTAAGTAGGCCTCTAATAAACAATATAACAGTCTATACAAACAAACAAGAGAGCCGTTCTGGTAAAAGATCCTGCGTCATATCTATCTATCTACCTACCTTCCTATGGCTCTACAGCCCTTTTCGTCCTTGACAGCTTATTCAGTTTCTTAATCTATACACAGACGGTGGGACTCCTTGCACGGGGGATCAGCCCATCGTAAGGCCCCTCGTGTTATACTATCAATGAATATTGTGCTTGGTACTTCCCAGAACAACTATAGCCACGCTCAAGAACTTGTACTTTCTCTGTTGACTGTACTGCTCAGCCGCCTTAATGTGATCTCCCCAGCGGGACACCAACGGCTTTGATGAAATAAACTGTACCTACATACGTATATAGTTCTGTGTTGTGCAACGGCAGGGCATTGCCGTCTCGTTATCGGTGCATACAGCTACACAAAATGTTGGTCCAGTGCCAGACTAGGGTTTCTGTTATTACGGCCAAGGTCCACAGTTCGCGTACAACTTCATGTTCGCCTTCATAGAAAGAAAATCAAAAGAGGAGCAATCACTTCGGCTAAAAGTACAGCAGATATGTTGTACCAAGAACGAAGTATTAATATGACATTTGATGGTAAGCCGTATTAAATACTCAATCATATGTGGGACAGTAACTTTGAAACGGAGTTTCGGGAAGTGGATAACTGCGGTAAGCAATGAAACCACATTTTAAACCTTGTGAACAAATGCAATGAATGCCGTGGCGAAAGTAAAGCTTAAGTGTCCACAAGATCTACACGAGGTTTGACATACAGAGAGCGTTACGCAAGGTACACGTAACTCGGAAGGTCGCGGGTTCAAGTCCCGATGAGGTCATTGTATTTTTTTCAATTGGCCTAATCCTTCCAGCCTCACTAGGCCCTGGGGTTGACTCAGCCTTTAACAGAAATGAGTACCAGGAATTAATTAAATAATTTTCCTGGGGAGTAAAGCGAGGCCGGCGCGTAAGGCTGACAACCTTACCGCCATCTTTGAGCCGATTGTCTAGATAATGTAAGACACATTTGTCTGATGCAAGGATTTCGGTCTCTTTTTTCACATTTTCTTCAGTGCGACTAGTTCTCGGCTTTGATGCACGTGGAGCGTCTTCAATGTCCTCCCTGCCGTCACGAAAAACAGCATACCATAGAAAAATGTTCGAGCGACTCAATCACTACCGTACACCCTTTTCATCATTTCGTAAGCTTCTCCGGCTGTTTTGCCTAACTTCAAACAAAATTTGATGCTGGCTCTCTGATCAACCGCCATTTTCCGACGAGCGTCAGAACAGTACTGTTACATTCAAGGTCAGAACACATGGTGCAGCGATGCTTGCGCTTTGAAATTATAGACAGCCACTACTGAAACTTCAAGAATCTTAACGCCAAAACTCTCCAACAGATGGCATTGCAGGGCAAAATTTAAAAAAAATGAGTCCTAACGGATCCTGGACACACTGTGTAAATTAACGAAATCATCTTCCTCTGTGTGTATGTACGTGTATCATCCCTTATTAACTTTTGCATGCCTTAAGCAATCCTTATAGAACTCGGCACGTATATCACGGCACTTGACCCCATCTCAACGACGTAATTCATAGATCCCTCCTATCAGTAATACCAACATTACAGCCTCTCAAATTTCTGAAGCTAAACCTTAATATTGCTTGAACGCCTATATCAATCTTCGTGAAACTTGGTATTTATACCATACCATATAAAACAATCTCGAAGCCATGCTCCAAAACTCCCTTCCATCAGTGATACCAACATTACAGTTTCTCAAATTGTTGCAGTAATAACCGTAATGTTACTTAAACGCCTGAACCGATCGCCGTGGAGCTTGGTACGATATATTGCCACCTGCGCTCATTTCAAGGGTCGCACTTCATAAAACCTTTCAATCAGTGATACCTACACTACAACCCTTCAATTTTCTGAGACTAAACCTTAATATTGCTGGAAAGCTTACACCAATCTTCATGAAAATTAGTATGTATATCGTACCACTGTCTCAACGGCGCAATTCATAATTCCTTTCCATCAGTAATACCAACAGTACAGCCTCTCAAATTTCTGAGACAAAATCTTAATATTGCTTGAGCGCCTGGACCAAACTTCATGAAACTTTGCATGTATATCATGCCACCTGAGACAATGCCAATGGCGTACATGATAAATCGCTCTCATCAGTAATACCAACGCTATGGCCTCTGAGATTACTGAGGTAATACCCCTAATACGTAGGTCGTACCGAATGTCATGAGCAACTTTTTTTTTCTGCATGCAATCTGGGAACAGCAGACGAAAGAGAGTACGGAGGTAGGTGGAACCAGCTGTTGTGTTAACCTTGAGTGTCTTGTGACGTCAATAGCTTGCATCATGTGACCAGTATCACTCCTAACAAAATGGCCGACAACGATACGTCGTTTCGCCAGCGTGCTGTCATCGAATTTCTTGTGAAAGAGGAAATCCCTGCAGCAGAAATTAACCAGAGACTTCAGCGTGCTAATGGAAGTGTGTGCATGGGTGCGAGCAGTGTTCGAAGATCGG